TTGAACCCCGCAGCCTGCTTTTATAGCCGGCTGCTGGGGGAAACCGGCCAATGAGGGACAGCAAACGCCCCCGCAGCGTGAGCGGACCTGGGTGGGAACTTTTGCAAGTTCCAGGGACATAACAACACTGTTGCTTGGAGGATTTTGATCTTTGTAAATACAGTCACATCATGGCATCTGAATAACTTTTCCAAGAAATTCACTACTATCCTGAGTGGCTCTGGGTACATAGAGCTTTTGGATCCAGGAGTTTAACATCTTTAGTTGTGGATGGGATAGCAGTGCCCCAGACAGACCCGGTGCACAATTTGTGAGTCCTCCTAGACTCACAACTCCTGCTTGAAGAACAGTCAACAACTGTTGTGGTTAGGAGGGCTTTTGCACAACTTTAGATTGTGTGCCAGTTATGCTGTTTCCTAGATCGCGAGGTGCTCAGTCACTCATGCCCTGATCATCTTGTGCTTGGGTTACTGCAATGCACTCTACATGGAACTACCCTTGAGGAGCATTTGCAAGCTATAGCTTGCACAAAATGTAGCAGCACAAACAGTCTCAGGGCTCCTAGGGTGGGCCATGTTGCACCATTGTTGCACTAACTGCTCTGGTTGCTAGTTTCGAGTACAATTCAAGGTGTTGGTTATTATCTTTAAAACCTTATACAGCATGCCCACAGGTTACCTGAGGAACTGTCTCACCCCAATGGGACTGTCTGCCCCACTTATTCCGACAAAAGAGGTACTGACTAAGAAATCGTGACTGGCAGAGTTGAGGAGAACCTTTTTTGCTGTGGCTCTGGAATATCATGCCCCATGAAGGGAGTTGTTTGGTAGAGGGATGGGCTACATAAAATAAATCTTACTAAGTACTAATCTGCAGTGAATTTCTCTCAATTATCTAGTGTGCATCAGCAATAATGTTTCATCTTTTTTTGAACAGCTGTTGACATCTTGTTTTCTATGTGAAGTTTAATTCATATTAGGATGATCCTAAGTATTATTTTACTATCATGTGAAATGAAGGATATTGCACTCTCCTTTATTTGGTATTGTTGTGTAGACTGCTCTAACAGTATAATAGAATTGAAAAGCCAACCCTTCACAATGTCTTGTTGGTATGTTTGCCAGCTTGAGTCATTTATAAAAAATAATAAAAATGGCATATAAGTAAATAAAAACAAATAAACCTGCTACACCACAGGCAAGTGACCCTCCCTCAAGGGTTAAGCCTGAACAAGCAGATACTAATTGTACGCGACCTTTCCATCTTTAAGACCGACGAATCGGTGGCTGCTGTTCCTTGGAAGGGGCGGGCTTTAGTGTCTCTGCCTCGATCATTGGGTATTTCTGACCAAGCGCAGGCGTGGAAAGGAGCGAAGGCTTCCCTTGTTTCTCTTGCGCTTCTTTGAAAGCGAGCCGTGCGATTCGCTAAATTGGGAATAGAGAATTTTTTTTAATTGTTATTATTATTATTGCAGGTCTATGGCTGCTTCAGGCTCACCTTCGTGGCCGGGAGAAGGACCGCGGCGGCGATGATCCCAACCCCGCGGCACCAGCACGTGGGTCCGGAGGGTCCCTTCAGCGCTGTGTATGAGCCCGCCGAAGACACCTACTTGCTGCTGGACGCCCTCGAGCGGGATGCCGAGGCTCTGAGATGCGCCGGGTGAGGCGGCGATCGCCGGCGCTGCGCAACCAAGAGAAGAGTTCGGGGACTGAGGACGGGCGGGCTTGGCAAGGGCACCGTAGGAAAAACATTGCTACGCATTGCAATTTACATAGTCGACTGGTACCCATCATATATGAGACGATTAAAAGAGTAAATAGATCACCCAGTTATCGTTGAATGATCTTAGTCTTGAAAAACTTAAGTAGGGTTCGTCAGGGTTAATATTTGACAGGGAAACCGACAGGAAAAGGCAGGGCTTGAAGTGGAGATTGGGGGAAGACCCTTGTGGACAAAGACAGTGGCAAGAAGTATATGGAATCCAATTCACTTCAAAGGAGGTTTCATCTTTTTGTAAACTGTTAAGTAACATCATACAACGCACCATAATGTATAAACTTTCTGGAAACTTAACTTGTGGCCTGTTATCTGTATCAATTTTCCAAAGCAATATGCTGCAAATACCATGTACATATTATGTTCTGTTGCAGAAGAATTGTTTGGCCATTATTGCATCCATTGCCAGAAAATATTTTTTGCTGGGAAAAGTTCAGAAAAACTTGTATAAAGAAAAGTTACGTGTGTGTATTCACCACCAACCCACCCCACCCCACCCACCCCCCAAAAACTGCTGGATATTACTAGAATTACACCTAGTTCCAGTGACTAAGAATAAAGCAAATAAGCATCTCTGGAATATTAATGTACAAGTAAAATCCAGACATGAATAGAATAAAATCTATAAAGCCTCTAGACTTAGGTTACCCATAAATATAACATGTTTCCTTATTGATGTGTAAAATAGCATTGCAAATAGAATGTATCAGTCTGAGAAATCAGCAGAGTTGAATAATAGTAATAATAGCAATAATTTATTAAAGTTGGATGCAACCCAATACTGAACAGCTCTGGGAAGCATACAAATATAATTAATTTAAATTACAATTATAGCAATGATTTTTTTTTTTACAAATGAAGGCAAATATACAAGTCCCAGAATAACGTTGCAAAATCCAGTCTGGGTCAGTCACCAGGACCAGAGGTTGACTGACCCAGATTGGATCTAATTAATTTATAGTTACAAATTACATTTATTAAATTTATAGGCTGACATTACTCATTGACCGCTGGATCTAGTTTTTAATTTGAAAACTTGATAGCTCAAAAATGTATACATTAAACCATGTATGTTTTGCATGTAACATTGTAAGGCTCATTTTAATCTCTGAACTATTATTTTTGCATTCGTTTAGCATTGATATATGCCTTGAAGTAGGATCTGGATCTGGAGTAGTTTCAAGTTTTTTAGCTTCAATTGTTGGATCCAAAGCATTTTACATGTGAGTATTTATACACCATTTGAGTTATATAAGATAAGCAAGAGATAGGGTGTTTCTGATGCATATTTTTGTTAAATAATTCAGCATAGTCTTTGGAATGTGAATATAAACTATTATTACATGTAAATTTGGGTTATGTCAATGGTATAATTCTTCACTCAGTAAAAAAAAATAGATAAAAAATAAAATTTGGTGTTAAATAGTGTATCTGACAGTTCTACAAAATTTCTCAGTTCAGAACTGCTTGTATTTTACTATTGTTTTAGAAACCAATATTTACCTACTTTAATGTGTCCTCCATATGTATACAAGTAGCACTTTTCTGTAGTAGCACATGTCATGTGTACATTTAAGTTATAACACATAAAAGACATTATACTGAATCAAGATTTACAAGTTGCAGATGGCTGAAACATTGAGAATCAGTCATAATTTCAATTTGTTTAGTGCTGTTGTAAATTAACCCCAGTCCATAGACCGGCACTGGTCCGCAGCATGCCAGAAACCGGAACGCGCAAACAAGGCAACACACAAAACCACGCCCCTTGATCACTGAACAAGTGGTTTTTAACCAAGGACATAAGTATTTCATGAAACCAGGGGTATATCTGGAAGGCATCAGAAAAATCAAGATGGCAGTACAATCAAATATCTGATTTAAATTACATCTGACCAGTTGTTTTCCAAGGTAACCAAAGATAGTTTCTGTTTACTAAAATGTACTCTTGTGTATACAGGTGTACTGATATCAACCCTGCAGCTGGTCTATGCACTGCAGAGACAGCTAGAGAAAACAATGTTCACATTCAGCCAGTAATTACTGACCTGGTAAGACATACATTATAATTGTTTTGGTCAGCAAATTTTAAAATGTTACTAATATTCAAACATAGTTTATGTTAAATTTTAGGATAAGAATGGTTATTATAACACGAATGTCTAGAAGTAATAGAGCTCTTCTGCTTGCCTATGTACCAGTCAGCTGATTTCATGATACAGGTTGTGATCTACCCTGCTGTGATATGTTTTCAAATGATTAGTTTGACTCATGTTAGTGGTGCTTGGTACCTCAGTGTATTCTAGCTTGGGTGCAGAATGAGTGACTAGCAAAAACATAGAAGTTTTAGTGACAAATATCTTAGCAGTACAGCTATCTAAAGCATGTGAATGATAGAGAAAAGTTGTTGCATGCAGGCTTCTTTATCCATTATATAATGTATGATAAACCAATTTTTTAGGCTGCCTCATACTTTTAATTATATGAAACTTAAAGACCAGATAGCTGGTACTGAATAGATATATTTTTAATATTGTAGTTTTCCTGGGATAAGCACTGGTAGATAAGTGATATGGGAATATTAGCTTGCATTAGATTTCATATGTTTAGAACAAAATTATATGCTTGATAAAATCTCTCCAATACCTGCTTTTCACTTTCCTCCTTGTTTCTTCTTTGAATTAGATTATGCATCTGTAAGAAGGAACCTGTATTTTTCAATATCTTTTGTAATAAACCTGCAAAATCATATGCATTACATAAATGCTAATGTTTTTATTTATGTTTAGGTAACAGGATTGTTGCCACGATTACATGGAAAAGTTGATTTGCTGTTATTTAACCCACCTTATGTGGTAACCCCTTCTGCTGAGGTATGATCATATGAGATTTAAGAACAATCACCAACTGTAATAATGTACAGCTTCTGTAAAGTATCACTACTGTTTCCCCCAAAATATGACCTATTCCAAAAGTAAGTCCTAGCTTGATTTCTACACACGTGTCCAATAAAGCCCTACCCCCCAAATAAGCCCTAATTAAGACTCACCCAGTCCAGGGTATACAGGTAAAAATTAAACTAGGGAGGGGATGGGGGGTGGAGCTGCCCTACTACGTACCTCAGATAGTTGCAACTAGGCCTCCCATACCTCGGCCCATTTTTTCTGTAGCTGGAAGGCTTTCCTAAAGGTCTTTGTAGCTGATAACAGTTATCTGTTATCGGCTGCAGAGGCCTTCAGGAAAGCCTGGTTTTCCTTGCTGGCTGAAGATGTTCCTGAAGGCCTCTGATAACACCTGCAAGTGAGGTGAGTCAGTGGAAACACCACCACCACCACCCCCAAAAAACTTATGCCTTTTTTGGTGGCAAAAAGAATATAAGACAGGGTCTTATTTTGGGGGGAAACATGGTAGTATTGTAAAGTATCACTAGTATTGAAAACAATCAATTAGTTGGAAATTGATTTTTTCACACCCCAGCTTTTGTATTTCTAAATCACTACTTATACATGGAACATTATCATCCTTCACTTATGCTTTTGCTTGTTTCTACATCTTCTCTTTATATTTGTATCTTAACCCCAATTCCATAGAAGCATAGAATATGATCATTGACTATATCTTGGAGATATACTTTGGCTCCCTGTCCATTGAAGAAATCCACTATTGCAGCATCTGAAGAAGAATCTACCATTTCTCAAGAAATACAGAACAAGAACTGCAGAACAATTCTTAAACATGCTTAATGTCCAATAGAAATATGCATTATTATTCTTCCTTGCCCTGTCTTCTGAAATAACTTTGAACAAGTCTACCGTGCCTTCTATATAACAACCTTTCAGTTCAATTTTCCATATCTTATTTGTTCTAGATACAAACTCATGGAATTGAGGCAGCCTGGGCTGGAGGTAAAAATGGCAGAGAGGTTATGGATAGACTCTTTCCACTTGTGTCAGACTTACTATCGGCAAGAGGATTGTTTTATTTAGTTACAATTAAAGAAAATAATCCAGGTAGCATTATCTCAATTTCTTCTTAAATATGGTGGTGGTTGATTGTCTTGCAAAATACTTTTTAATAGTTATGTAAAATCTTTTGAGTCCTTTTGATTGTGGTAGATGCAGGCTGAGCTTTGTTACTAGTATCTGTATTACCATGTTGCTATTAAACACCATCAACAAAAGAATATAGATGCTCTTTCAAATGTAGAGACAAATTATAAAGAAAATGAAGCACAGGGACTATTTTTCTGGCATTCATACATTGGGCAGATTAACTTATTTAACCTGCAGGGTTGTAGCCATTACAAGATATTGGGATCTAAAGAAATAGACTTTCTTTTTTATTATTTAGAAATAATATACATGGAAATAGCTCCAGTGCACTGTCATTTTTTTCTCCAAGATTCAGTTAGGTTAGCAGTAAAGTAAGTTATTTCAAAACTGAATGATAATCTCTTGTTTTAAATTGCAGATGAAATTATTAAAATATTGCAGGAATGTGGTTTAAATGGCAATAAAGTAATTTCCAGACAAGCAGGAAGGGAGTATCTCTCAGTACTGAAATTCTACAAATCCTGAAGCTGGCTTCTGGAGGAATCTTTGTTTTAAAATGCTATCTTTGATTAATTAAGATTAAATTCTAACTGCTGAAAACTAGTACACATTAGTATATTATCTTAATTTTAAAAATATGCATATTTCCATATGTGTAAAATCAAAATTTTGACAAATTTATAAAAGTGGAAAGTAAAATACTGCGTAAACATTGTTACAATCCTATCATACATGTACTTAGAAGCGAGATTGTGGCTGTTCCAACTTGCTTCTTTTTATCTGAATAATGAACTTAGCATGGAATTCATTCTCTTGTTTCTATTGCATATTCTGAGTTCATGGGCTTGCAAAGTTAAAGTAGACGTTTCAAGCTTGAAATAGCTTTTTCAGTGTTTGAGAAATGTTCCAAGTTTATAAAATACTTATTGGTATTTCACATTGACTTGGTAGAAATAAGAACAAGTACCTGCAAGGTAATAGTTTAAGTAAAAACAACTGTTTCAAGTTTGAAGTCATTATTTCAATTTCATAATAACTGTTTCAGATATAGAATATTATTAGATAGTCAAAATACTTAAAATATGGTTGGAACAGATGTTTTAAACTTGAATGCTTAAATTCAGAATCTTTTGCACACCACTAGTCCCTACTACAGTACTAGTAATTGCTATAAGCTGCACTAGCTGGCTCACAATATAGTTTGCCAATACCTCAAATCCAGTATACAGTTTAAGAACCAGTACCACAGATGCATATGTGAGTATCACAAGTGTGTCTATCCCTCTCATTTTAAACCTTTAATACCAATTCTAATCATGATCTCTAATTGAGCAAACAATTAAATTGCTCTTCGTGCTGCTAAAAATCTTTCAACCTTAACAGGGCTTATGTAAGACAGGATATAATACGTAATAGCCACTGGTCAAAAACTGTCACATGTCACCCATTTCTACTTTTCACATCTGAATATTATTAATGCAAAGATAGTGAGCAATACCAAGACATGATCAATCAGTTTGAACTTTTTATTGTAAGGGAAAAAATTAAGGTTTTACTGCTCAGTCCAAGGATGATGGTTTTAGGCTTGCTTGAAGCAGAAAAATGAGGTACATCAGAAGAAAGTCTCTCGGCAAAGAGGGCAAGTGGACTTGTTGCTAGATGTAAACCATTTGTACTAGAGGAATTCAGAAAGCAAATATTAAAAATACTCTAGCATTTACTATTCCCAATTAAACACTAGCCAGTCAAGATTGAATATGGCGTATTTAAATGATCTCTAAAGAGAAATATTAAGAGCCTATTTGTAATGAAATATTTTCATGGAATAGCCTTGTAGCTAACAATACTATGAAAGAGTAACTCTCTCACAAACCAGTTTCCTTTAAGCTCTGATTTACATTGAAGGCATAAAAAACCCTGAAAAATAAAAACTTTTATTGCCCCCCTGAAAACAGCAAATCATGTCAGGTTAAAGATTCCCATAATTTGCTAAAGAGCTCCCTTTACAAAATTAGCTATAAAATATTTTCTTAAGCTATTTATATAAATGTTCATATGACTATTAGTAGCATTAAAGCCATATAAATTTCAAGCTTGTTTTCTTACAGAAATACGACTAGTCAAGATACTTACCAGGCAGGCTGAATGGAACTTTTTCTTGCATGTTCTGCAAGCTTTTTTGGGGAGGGAGTAGTTGGAACCATGTATAACCGAGAAACAGATCATGCAGTCTTCAACGCCCTCAAATCGTTTGTCCACATTGTTTTTCCACAATGCTAGCCCTTCCATAATGCTTCCATTCTGTTGGGAAAATAATGCATTTCAGCTCTGTGCAATATCACCATCTTCTACAATTTCCTACAAATGCATGTAATATCATAATGCAGTGTATAATATATACTGTAAGGTCTTTAGGTGTTGATGTGCTGAATAATCAGTTTGACCGACTATATACTTTCCTGGGATACTGTTGCAACACTGGAGATCAGTTATGTGATCTGGGAAGAATGCTACTGCTTTATAAACTGCCCAACAAGTACCATTATGAATCCTAGACAATTTTTTTTACCTTTCAAGTAGTTCAGTTACCTCTTTTTAGAGCAGATCTAATTCATATGACCAAAATCAAGACTATATGAAAAAGTACCTGATGAGTGAGATAAGTGCTAAGCTGTAGCATCCAATTACGCCATTGCTGAACTGCTACACCAACCCTTTTCCCACTCTCTACAGCTATGGAGCCCAAAGGATAATTTGGGGGAAGCTGTATAATCAATTCAATGAATATATCATCAACTGAGTAAGTAGCAATGACTTCTCGAGTGGCAGATCGAGCTTTTACCTGTAAAAACAAAAACATTATCATTTATTATAGCAACAATGTTTTGATCCTATTGTTTACTTTCAAGATATAGCATAACAACCCTAATTGGGACAGAAATTTCCATCACCTAAGCAAAGCAGTCATTAGGTGAATCATCACATGATCCTGCCATTTAGTGATGGTAGTTCCAGTTGAACTAGTTAGACAAGGATCTCACGTTTTTCCCGCCTGTCTGACCTCCACTTCAACTCCATCTATCTCCTGTCCCATCTCTATCCTTTTGGATGCCCTGCACTCTACCACCCCGCTACCCCT